GGGTAGCCCGGGCCTGCTATAGGCAGTTAGGGTAGCTGTAGGAATTCGGGTTAGTACTGGGCCTATATTTTCCCAGATTTGCAGATATGTCCCTCACGAATTTCCTTACAGGCAGGTCTCTCTGTTAGCCCTTAGCCAAACAAAATTACGAATATAACCCTACCGGTTAGTGTACAGCCTCGCAGTCAATCTGGGCAGTGGAAATCAGCAAGTCATTGCAGGCTTACCCTCCCCGAGAGCGAGGACCTCCGAGCTAGGGGTGCAGGCGAGGTGAACAGCGAGGAAGGTTGCCCTTCTTAGCCGCTTCAACCATCTATTCTCAGAAGGAGGCTGGAACGCGAACCTCACAAGATATTGCCGGTCGGGGTCGGTGCCCCACTCGTCCTCAATCCATTCCATGTCGTATCCCTTGCCAGGGATCGGTGGACCGAATTGAGGGGGCCGGTCTGGGAATGCATCAGCTGGAGTGAAAGGCAGCAACTTGGATGCATGAAAGACCGGGTAGGTGCGTAGATGCAGCGGGATGTCGATGACATACGACGGACCGAAGGGATCAGCACCCACTGTATCTAGGACCTGCCATGGACCCAGGTAACGTGGCAATAGCTTAGGAGAGATATCCTCCTCCCTCGACAGCTCAGAGCTGGCCACCCGAACATGGTCACTAGTGCGGATGGGGGAAGGCCGCCTGTGGCGATTAGCTTGTTCAATCATTAGCCTTTTGGGCTTTGAATAAGTTCGCGCGGGCTCTTTCCACATCTAGACGATAAAGTCTGGTGAACTCTGTTGTGCCTGGTGTGAGGTCAGGCTTAGCCTTATCGATGATATCATCGAGAGGTTGTCGTGGTTCATGTCCCCAGTGTAACCGGTAGGAACTGAACCCTGTCGAGGAGTGGACATACATGTTATACATGAGCTATGCCCTCGCTAAGTGAAGATCCTTGTCCTGTTGATCTGGCGAGATGACAGGGCGCAGCAGCTGGAATAAGACTTGGTTCATCACTTCAGCCAAACCATTGGCTTCAGGATGATGACCAGAAGTCATGTCCAGACGGGAGTGCAGATAGTCCTTACAGTAGGACTGCCACTCATCGCTGCAAAATCTGGGGTTTCGATCACTGACAATAGAAGTGGGCGGTCCATGGTGTGTGACCCACCTCTCAGAGAAGGCTGCTCTCACAACCGGTACTCTAGCTACCTCTGGCAAGGGGATGAACTCTGCGTATTCGGAGAACCTGTCCACGCAGACCATAACCTGACGCATGCCACGAGGGGTGGTCTTGCCTAAATCTGTGAAGTCGATCGACACAGATTCAGCAGGGCCATCAGGTATGGGTAAGGGTTTTAGCAGTCCCAAAGGAGGTTTATGCTGAACCTTGTTCCTTTGGCAAAGCTCACAGGTGTCCACATAACGCAACATATCACTCCGCATCTCCTTCCAGAAGAAGCGCTGCGACAGGGTTGCATAAGACTTTAGGAACCCGAAATGTCCACGGGCATCATGACACTCTGACATCAGCAGTGTCCTGAGCCGCTGGTCCTGGGGAATGCACAAGCGCTCCTCCCCTCTGCTGCAAGTATACAGCAGGTCTGAACTCCGAGCATGGCCTGGTTTAGAGTTAGGATCTGCTTGCAGATTCCTGACAATGGGGTCCAAATGTCTCGTCCTGAGGCAGTAGACGAGCAATGGTCTGACGGGTCTCCTCTCCAAAGGAGTGAGTAGAGGAGATCAGCGCAAAAGAGTCAGGCCTACGAGAGAGGGCGTCTGCTACCTTGTTGTAGCAGCTCTTCTTGTGCTTCAGTTCAAAGTCAAACATGTCAATGAACTGAATGTATCGTGCCAACTTATCGTTCAACTTTCCCTGGGACTTCATCCACTGCAGGGTGGAGTGATCTGAAAAGATTTTGAAGTGTCTGCCCAGGAGAAAGTGCTTCCAATGTTTCAGGGCACTGACAAGAGCATATAGCTCTTTCTCGTAGGTAGAGTCCTGAAGCTTTTGGGTCTTGATCTTCTTACTCATGAACTCTACTGGCGGTAGACCATTCCCATCATCCTRCTGAAGAACTGCCCCAATGCCATACTGACTGGCGTCAGTGGTCAGGATGAATGGCAAAGTGGGGTCAGGTAACTTCAGCACAGGCGCACGAGTCAAGGCCTTCTTGAGTCGTGTGAAGGCCAACTGACAGTGGAGGGACCAAAGAAAGGGAGTGTCCTTCTTTGTTAGGTTAGTCAGGGGTGCAGCCACTGCAGAAAAGTTCCTGACAAACTTTCTGTAGTAGGAGGCTAAACCCATGAAGGACCTGACATCCCTCACTGTCTGAGGCTGAGGCCACTCGTGAATAGCAACAATCTTGGCTGCTTCAGGAGCCAGGCCATCTCCAGAGATTACATGACCCAGATAGATGACAGAGGGAACTCCAAAAGAGGACTTCTCCCTGTTGATCTTGTACTGGCTGTCACGTAATGACTGAAGGACAAGAGCCAAGTGCTCAGCATGTTCCCTGGCAGTTTTGTTGAATACCAGGATATCATCCAGGTAGACAACCATAAACTTGTCCAGGTAAGGCCTGAAGATGCGGTGCATCTCTGTCTGGAAGGTGCCTGGGGCATTGCAAAGTCCAAATGGCATAACCAGGAACTCATAAGTCCCATACCTGGTGTTGAAGTCGGTCTTGTAGACATCCTTCTCTGCCATCTCAATCTGGTGGTAGCCAGATTTGAGGTCGACTTTGCTGAACACTGTGCTCCTCAAGCTCAGCAGGGGACATCCTGTAGATGCGGCCCTTGGGAGGGACCGCTCCAGCCAGCAGCTCGATGTGATGCTTGGTTGGCCGGTTGGGTAAACCAAAGGGCTCCTGCATCAGATCAGCATACTGATCTACCACCTGCTGTATCTCAGGAGGACAAGAAACAGGGGGAGCATGTGTCTGCTTGACCAGAGCAATGAACAGACGCTCATGGTGGTACTGGCGTGAGAGAGCATGGAACTCCCTCGGTCGCAAACAGTAGCAAGAGGTCTTCGGGTGGTGATCAGCAGCAATCATGCATTGCTGATACACCCCCTGGCTATCTGGTAGTTAAACTCTAGGGATCTGCCAGTCGATCCTAGGGTTGACTGCCCTCAACCATTGCATGGAGAACACCAAGTCAAAAGGCAGCTCAGGGAAGATATAAAAGTTCAGACTATGTATGACTTTTCCAGCAGTATCGAAGGTCACAGGAATACCCTTGACCTTCTCCCTGATGCTGAGTACTGTAGAGTCACCAATCCGCACCAGCAGCGGTTGTTGCAGCTGCTGAACTTTCATGCCCAGGTGCAGCTTTTTAACTGCACTGGGAGACATGAAGTTCCTGGTGGCCCCACAGTCCAACAGCCCAGTGATCCTGGTGTTGTTGATCAGTGGCCGGAGCATGATGAGATCAGTCTTGCTCTTCTTCTATTCCTTCAGATGAAGGAAGAAGGCAGCAATGGACTGGAGCTCATCCTGCCCCGGGTCCTGATCCGAGTCAGGATCCTCATAGCAAAAGGATGCTGCCCGCGCAGTCCCCACACACACATCATCAGCACATGCAGTCTCAACTGAAACAACTGCAGATTCACCTACCTGAGTAGATGAAGGTGCAGCACTGGGGGGAACTGCAGTCCCCAGGGTCTGTTTTAGTTTTTTGACTGACTGCCTGGGCCTGGCATGTAAGGGCAGTCCTTTAAAAAGTGTTGTCCCTCACACCTCAGGCAAACCCCTCTTTCCTTCCTTCTTCTCCAGACTCCCTCCTGGATCTTGAGGTCATGCCATGGGAGTGTGGAGGGATTGAGAGGTTTAGCTGGCATATGGACGTCTCTGGGCAGATTAAGGCGCTGGGAAGAGGAAGGCCGACGTCCCTTGTCCTTCCCCTTGGCACTGGCTGAGGCTGTGGTGGGAGAGAACTTCTTCTGCAGCTGCAGAGCTCCCAAAACAGCCTGAGTCACGACTGCTGCAACATCTGTCTCAGCAGCAGATCCGGTCCCACCTGAAGGTGCATCAGGCTGGGAATCGGAATCTGATCCTAAGGCAGACCCGGCATGAGTAAAGGCTGTCTTTCCCCTTCTGCCACCTCTGGGGAAGGCACCTTTCCTCCTATCAGAGGATGGGGCCTGGACATGGAGCTTGGCCTCCATTTCTAGGGCTGCACGGCCAAACGACCTCCAGTCCTTGTGCCCAGCGCTGTATAAAGCAACAACAAACTTCTCAGGCGCTGCCCTGCAGAAGTTGGTCAGCAAATCATCAGAAGACATGACCAACCCAGGGGTGGAGGTTAGTTGCTCGAACTCAACAAACAAGGCCTGCAGAGTCCCGCTGTACCACTGCTGTCCCAGGCAAGCAATCCTGTCAGCAGCCTTGCGGGATTTCTTGTCTGCAAATCGGTCCTCCAGGGCCTGCAGAAGCTTGTCCACCCCAAGCCCAAAAGCCCAGTCCTCCATGGACTGCTGCAGACTGCTGGAGGTAGAGGTGGCCCACTTTAATGCAGGTCCCTCCAGCAGTCCCAAAACAGTCGCCACCTTGGTCTGTTCTGCACAGACAAAGCCCCTCAATTAGGCTTTGGTCCCAGCAGCCCAGTCCCCAACATCGGTCTTGGGGTAATCACCCCTAAACTTGTTGGGAGCAGGGATCTTGGGACCTTTGTAGTCTCCTACAGTCACAGCAGCATAGGTGGCCTTTCCTGAGGCCTTTTGGGAAGGGGTAGATGACCGGGAAGAATGTACAGAACCAGCATGAGAAGGATGTGATGAAGGAGGGGGTGAAGGAGGAGGAGAAAATTTGGGTTTCAGCAGAGGGGGCTGAGGAGTGATCAGCTTGGCGGCTGCCAGCTGAGCAGTCAAGTTCCGGATCGAGTCCAGGATCTTGGACTGCTGAGCTGACAGCTCGTCAACCCGACGCTCCAGTCTCACAAAGCGATCATCCCAGTTCGTAAACTGGGAGCTCGTGATCTTGTGCTCTAACAAGATCATCTCTGCCATATGCTGGGTGATCTGAGAACAATGATCATCAGTGAGCGCTTTGTCTAGCTGCTGCAACAGATATTCTCTTCTGGAATGATCTGTTGCAGCTTCTAGTTCGGCTGCCTCCTGCCGTTCCACTTCTGCTAGTCTGGCCTGTTGCTGCCGCAGCTGTTCTTCCAGCTCCTTCTTCAACCGCTGAGTAGCAGTCAGAGGTGGAGGAGGAGTAGTGGAGGCTGAAGGCTGTTCACCTTCCACCTTCATCACAACTTCCACCTGTGCTGGTCAGTTCCCTGATCAGACATTTCCCGATTTCAAAATAAAACCAAAAATTAAACAGACAGCAGACAGAGTGTGCAGCGATACTTAGATTTCCTTCAGTCACTCTGGAGTCGCTGCAAATACTCAACACTGGAATTAGTGGGTGTGCAGGTAATCAACGATTTGGGTTGGAAAGGTGTCTCTAGTTGGAAGTTCCAAATTCATTGGTCAATCAGCAGGCTGGGGCGACCGTTTGAGTCACCGTATGAACTGCTCATTTGTACAATCAATATGTCAAATAAATGAGACGTTGTAGAAGTCTGGGGTCAGGTGTCAGATAGACTGTAAGTCCAGCAAAATCAGTCACACGATTTCCTTGTACTGGCCCTGGACCACACTGGAGTTAGTAGACTCACTCCACTACTCTTCCAGAGACCCATTGGGTTTTCCAGTACCCACTAGAAAACAAGTGTCATCAGTGAGAATGATAGAAGATGACTCGTATTGACAGGAGAGATCAAACACAACAAGCAATTCAGACAGAAACTCTGGATCCTGACTCAGACTCAATTTTAGACTCTGACGACTCTGGCGGCCATACCCTAGGGTATGGCGAATTACAGTTTTCACTGAATCCAGTGAAATAATGCAAATCCAATCCTGCGATTCTACAGTATTACCTAATTTTGGATTGCGATTCACTGGGGACTGACATTACTGAATTCTGACGGACAAAATTGAAGTTATGGCTGACCCTAGGTAGCACAGGCTAAAAATAGACTCAGCGCAAAACAGCAATTCTCAGTATCACTACCTTTCCAGTGCAGAATTCACAGTTTGAGCATCCCAGAATAATCACAATGCAGTATAGCAGTTACATAACAATTTTGGATCAGAAAGAGTCAGTAGAGGGTGAGAAATGAGCAGAGAGAGGTAGGGGAGAGATGGCTATGGCTGTCATGCAGTCTGCGATTTTCACATCCAGTCATTGACAGACAGATAGACCATTATAATTGGCTACTCTAGTACTATCTAGATCGCAATACAGGTAAGTGCATGGAACGGACTCACTTCCAGAGAATCTCGCAGGTGATGATGAAGATCTGGCTATGGCTGATGATACCCTTATCTCGCCAATTTCCTCCAGATATTCCTCCTGACACTTCCACGCACAGAAGTGCTTCAAATTCGTTGATCCTCCTCAGGATCTTGTAGCGCTGCACCCCTTCACTCCAGATACCCTGTATCTGGTCCTGTGGCGCCCAGTATGCCAACACCAAAATATCTCGCCACAGTACCTGGTAGCCGCTGATGCTAAAAATAGCCCCAGATGGGGTTCTCTCTCCAGGAGATTGATACAGACTGTCAATCTCCCTCAGCGCAACCCAGGGATGATGCCGCTCAGGGTTCCCTGATGTCCTCAGGGGTAATTCACAGTACTACCCTCAGGGTTGGCTATGTTGAATTAGCCCTGTACTCGCCACTTCTAGACAAGCGCCCTAACAGGCTCAATGTGCTTGCTCAGTGCTACCACTGAACACCTGAATCCACCGCTGAAAGTCTTCTTCCCTGCTGACTCAGTACTGGGGAAGATGAATCGCCATGAAACTCTCGCCAGTATGTTGCCAGATGAAGCCTCAGTGCGCTCAACCCTCAGTGTTCCAAATCCAATCCCGCTCCGATACCAACTGTTATGAACTTGGTTGTCTGACGAATTTTATCGCCACTCACACACAGACAATCTCACACATGCCGATACATGCATAAGAGAAGGGGAGAGAGGAGACAGAGTCCAAACTGCACACAGGTGAAAATAAGCAGCGGAAGACAATTATGCACAGATGGGGAGAAGACACACAGTGTTTCTCACTCTCTTACACAACTCCCAACAACCAATCACACTTAGAACCTGCGAAGATCACAATTGGAATTCACACTGATGATGAGCCACTCAAACAATTATCGTAACAG